TGTGGTCGTGCTAGGGTGGGGTCGTGCTGGGGTGGGGTCGTGCTGGGGTGTGGTCGTGCTGGGGAGTGGTCGTGCTGGGGTGTGGTCGTGCTGGGGGGTGGTCGTGCTGGGGGGTGGTCGTGCTGGGGGGGTGGTCGTGCTGGGAGGTGGTCGTGCTGGGGAGTGGTCGTGCTGGGGCGTGGTCGTGCTGGGGCGTGATCGTGATGGGGAGTGGTCGTGCTGTGGTGAGGTCGTGCTGGAGTGTGGTCGTGCTGGGGTGTGGTCTTGCTGGGGTGGGGCCGTGCTGGGGTGGGGTCGTGCTGGGGTGGGGTCCTGCTGGGGTGTGGTCGTGCTGGGGTGTGGTCGTGCTGGGGTGGGGTCGTGCGGGGGTGGGGTCGTGCTGGGGTGTGGTCGTTCTGGGGTGTGATCGTGCTGGGGTGTGGTCGTGCTAGGGTGGGGTCGTGCTGGGGTGGGGTCGTGCTGGGGTGTGGTCGTGCTGGGGAGTGGTCGTGCTGGGGTGTGGTCGTGCTGGGGGGTGGTCGTGCTGGGGGGTGGTCGTGCTGGGGGGGTGGTCGTGCTGGGAGGTGGTCCTCAGAATTCAGGTCCCCAGGAGAGGACAATCTATAACACAAAACAAGCGTTTCGCTCGAGACATCCTCACCATTTTCTGAAAAACAAGCGTTTCGCTCGAGACATCCTCAAATTTTAATTCGCCGGCGCTCAAAAACAAGCGTTTCGCTAGAGACATCCTCAAATTTTAATTCTCGGGCTCGTTATTTATCAGGGAAAAATTCGCCGGCCTCCTTCGACCTCGTTATTTATCAGGGAAAAAATTCGCCGGCCTCCTTCAAGCAGGCACCGGGGGACTTGTTTACAAACTAAAAGAGAACCCTGGGCTTAAGCCCTTTCCGGGAAAAACATACAGTCGGACTGGAGCCAAAGAAACATCCCTCAACAACATGGGACCCTCCGCCGGCCAGAACACACCGAACATCCTGGGGTGCCCTCCCCCAGGATAGACGAGAACATCCGACAGACACGAAGAACACTAGGGTGCCCTCCCGAACCGACCTCGATCTGATACCCCGGCCCGACCGTACCCCCCAGACGCGCCGCCGAACTCGGCTTTTGGGTCATAGATCGACTCTCTGGTGTCCGTTCGGGACGATCCGGGCACCCCTGGAACGCTCTCGGCGAGGCGCAGCCGCTGGAACGCATCCCCAGGGCGGAAAGCCGCCAGGAAACTGCAGAACCGCTCGAAAACCTCGAGCCCGAAGAGCTCGAGCCGTATGCAGTTTTGCTCTGCTGAGGTCGGCTCGGTCATCTGCCCGAACCGACCTCGATGTTATCAAAGTGAGGGTACCGAAAGGTCATTAGCTGTCCCTGGGTGCGTTGCTGAAATGAGATTCCGACATGCGGATTATTGTTGTATTTCGTTGTTGTTGTTGATGGTGTCGTCGGTGATGCTGTGGTTGAGCTCTCATTTATGAAGAAGAATGATTGTTGATCCCCCCACTGGTGCATACTGTTTTTTCTCACTCAAAATGTGCTCCTCGACGCTCGCACCCAGTTTTTTCTTTTATCCGGGAAAATCTTGAAGCTCAAACTGGGCCCCTGGCCCCTGGGTTACAACAACAACGGCTCCCGCCTCAGACTCCTTCACAATTTAACCAGGACTCCCGCTCCCGCCCGATACTTCCTCGCATTTTACTCCGGAATCGCGCTCTCGCTTGGGATTTCCTTACAATTTATTCAGGAATCGCTCTCCCGGCGCTCTGGAGTCGCGCTTTCGCGGGAGACCTGCTTGCAAAATAC